CAACTATTCTGTGTTAGAGTAGGGCTAGTAGAARTGTAGGATATATTATAMTTTGATAATTGATACAATGAAGAATCATCAGGTGGCATTAGTTTTATAATAATATAATTTTTTTAAGTGGTGTACTCAGAAGCGTTCGCACTGTTCGCAGGATTTTAATTCGATTAAAATTTTCACTATAGGTTAATCAAATACCCGCTGCTCAATCGCTGAACTAGTAAATGATACCAACATTTAAACACAAAATAATTCTTCCAAATTCCTTTTTTTTATTAATTGTCTTAAATCTTAAAATCTTGTTAATCTTATATCTAATTTCATAACTATGAAATGTTTTTTAGTAATAAAATAAAGTATTTAGTAATAACATTTTTTCTACTTAAAAAAGTAAAAATAACTAAATGTWATTATATTTTAGTCCATCATTATCGTAGCCGTTTTTTTAATTGTACTAAAATTAGCCGTAAAAATTACCAATTAAAAAAATAAAAGCAAAAAAATAAAAAAAATTGAGAGGAGGAAAAAATCTGGAAGGTAGAACTCTACCTCTGTGTACGCCACAGTGTGTTACTCGTTACTCTTACTCGTTATTCTTATTGATAGTTTTCGATACGACAAAATATGAATGCCAGRTATTAACAATTATTTATTATTTCAGCACAAATGTCACGGAAATTTAAATTTTGTTACTCTGTAAATTTGATAAAGTATAAATGTTAAATACCTATATAARTACATTCTAATATATACGAGTAGTGTTATTGTTTTAGACACGCGTTGTTCAATTATGCGAATAATAATTATATTTTATTATTGATATGTTATTTAAATTTAAATGCCATGCGTTTAATTTCCAATAAATTAATTTTAAAATCTTCAAGGGGCGTTATGCCGATTTAATTATATTTTAATTTGTACTACAGAACTCAAAATTATARGTACTGATGATTTCCCCGAGTCGTTGACACTAGGCAATTTTGTATTGCTATAAATCAATTTCTAGAGGGTGTGTTTTCGGCAATATATCACAATATCTTAAATATATTTTATTGTATATTATAAACATAAGAGACTTCAGGACTAGTATGATGATCGCCGTGACGCCACCCACTCTAATATTTAATATATTGTATTGATTCATGTTTAAAGGTTTGGCCTATACTATCTGAAACATCGATAAGTTTTGGACTAGAAACCGGAAATATCACAAAAAAATAGAAATCAATAWATAATATAATTTTTTTTATTAGCTTCAGTAGGTACCTATACAATTATTATAGCTCGACAATCATATATATATATATATTATGTAGGTATATATACAACAAAATATAATTTATATTAAATATTATTGTTGTGTATTATACACAGTACCTATAAAGAATAATATTTTATTTTAATCGCAACGAAGGTTACAAGTGCAGGTAAGTTGTAAGTACTTACAGTTYTAATATTTTTAAATTGATGGCGGAAAAATTAAAATTTAACTTTTTCACAATTTAATGGAGTTTGAAAACTCGCTGTTTATTATTTACTACACAAGTTGTAACTTTTTAAGCCATCGTATATATATAATACATAGCAGCGATTTAGTGTATATAATAATTAGGCCATGCAGGCAAAGTGTGAAATTATATATTATACRTTTATTATATTATTATGATATACGTCAGAAAATTCGCACTCCAACGTTGCCAGATTTGTGCTAATAAAGAGAGTAGGGTAAGTTTTCGTTCGTTCCCCGGGCCTGGGGTTCCGCCACYGCCACACCGGATCTAATCTGCACACCCCTCGCGCGCGGCTGCAGTGACGGAGGCGGCGGCGTGTATTGATTTTGCACAGACCGCCGCGGCTGGCGGCGCCGCCGTTCGATACAAAACGCCGCCGCGCTACACCTACACCCCGACCGACGGTCGTCGCTGGTTTCGCGTTTTTATTATGCTCTTGCACGCATTACCAACCTAAAAGCACGCGACCTCCGCACCCCATCACCGGTATATGATATATACGTGGACGGGTATAATACATTATAGTGGCGACAACCGTCTGTCGAATAATTGCACAATTTTCCCGACATTGGGATACCAACTGTACCTATAGGGTATGTAAAGGAGAACGGAGGCTAGGTACTGTCGAACTCGTGTGGTGTGTGTAATAGCTATAGAGATAGTAATCCATCCGATTCCGCATCGTCAGGAGTAACTTTATCTATAACATTATACATACAAATAAATAAATATCATATTATTAATACTTATAATATTGTCGTATGGACGTCGCCGTATTGTATATATGATATTTTTGTGTAGCACACAGCTACGTGTGTATTAGTTATTGTATTGAATGACGAGACGAACCTAAAATAACCTATTAGTAACCTAAAATTGACCCACCACCCATCCACCCACCAACAGTTTATAATAAACACAAGTATACTATTATTAGTATTTATTAAATCGAGAAATAAGAGCTTTTCAAAGATCACATTCGTCTCGTCACTGGTTCTATGAGCWAAATAACTGTATAATATGAAAATCTAAGRAGATCGTGAACGTAGGTACATACCAGTACACGAATATTAAAAGATCATTATTTGTCGTTCAAAAATGACTAGTATGCTTTTTAAATCTTAACATTTTTATCGGACATATCTTAGACCCGTTTTAATAAACCACCTTTACATAATATATAAYAGTGGAAATRAACAGTAAATGATTACGATAGAAATCATTAACGATTCATTAGGAAATTATTTCAGCAAATTTTAAGAAAGTAGACATTATAAGTTTAATTGTGTGTCGTTTTCATATCATAGTTTTATTTTTTAATAATTTCAGTTTGATAGTATACTGTTATATAAAATTCAGGAAAAATTGAGAAATTTTTCAACAGATATCAAATTTTTTTATTTAAGTATCTTC